ATATGCTTCATTTTTATCTTTCAGCCAGTGGGTTTCGTGACTTTTCACACGAGAGCTGGCGCCGAGGCTGCGAAACAGGACCTGCAGGTAAACCTTCGACTATGACACGTAAACCCTATCTTATTGGATTGTTCAGTCAACCGCGAAAAACCGCTTTTCGAACGCCAAAAATTCCGGCGTAACTCGTATCTTTTTTGATAATCTCGCCTTACTTTCAAAGGAGGAGTGAACCAATTTGATTTTTCTTTCCTTTCGTTCTCATTTTCTCAATAATCCCATGACTTCCACTGTGATTATTATACATTAATTTATACTTCTTTCTATATCACCCTCTTAAGTAGTGCCAAAACAATTCTTATCCGTAATTCAACCTTATTTGTCATTAACTATAGCTACATGGCACGGGTTTAACGCTACACAGCTATTTTTTGAAATAAATAATTGTTTGCTCCCCCCCCCCCTTCTCTCTCTTTCTTTCTTTCCCCAATCCCACCATTTCAATATATTCCTGTATACCGTGATTTCTAACAAAGTATTTTTCTTTATTTTGACCGCAACCAATAAATAAAATAATAATAAAGCTTGCAAAGTTTTTTCTCGTGTCACACTCTATCCCCTTACACACCCCACTAAACAAGAAAACCCCGCAGAGAACCACGTAAAATTTGCACACCTTATGGTAGAGCAATGTTTTTTCTCGACGTATGTACATTGCAACGAGAAAAGAAAAGCTCGTAAAAAAAGTTGTTTTACATCCAACGTTTTCTTTTTTATCTGCAGTATTGGCATTTTAAGTTTGGTCGCACTGTAATAAAAAAATGGAAAATCAATAAGAGAATCAAACACACTTACACACACACGCACACACACACGCACACACACACACACACACACACACACACACACACACACACACGCGCGCGCGCGCACACATGCGCGATTCGACCGAGCTACTCAAAGTCGGAATTTATCCACGAAGCGCATTGTTTCCTCCCTCCATCTACGAGGATGCAAAATAAAAATGAATGACTTTGAGGGTAAAAAAAAGGATCTACGTCCATTAGAGAGTGGAATATTTTTGGGAAGCCCGGTCTCAAGGAGTATGGAATACAATAAATAATCGATACCTCTCCGAGCAAGCAAAGAGTGAACTCACGTTTTTTTATTCTTCTGTTTGTACTCTATACCTTCTCTCTTTTTCTCTCTCTTTCTCTACATATATCTCACCAAAGCCAATGACATCACGTATACAGTTATGTGCAGCGTATGTAATACCATCAAATAGTGTGTAACGATTACCTTATCTCTCTTTTCCACCCCTTACGTAAAGAAGAGAACCCTAAAAAACACGTCGATCGACTGATTTTGAAAGTAAAAAAAAAACGAGCTTGCTCATCCTGTAATGCGCACACTCACCACAGAAAAACAGAATTGTTGAGACAGAGACACGCAGAGTTTAAATACTCTCTCTCGTGCACATATAGTCTCCCTAATTCAATATATATAAAACAGAAAAAATAGTTTCTCACGACACACAAATACGGACACAAACTAGCCCCCTTCGTGAGTTCGTTGGTTTTCTGGTTGGTAAATCATTCGTTGCGCCGAAAATCCAAAACAAGTAAAGAACTAATTTAGGGCGTGTCTCTTTGCAGCAGGGGGTTAGATTCGATCCTGATATGCCACAAACCATACGTTTGGAATTTGCAAAAAGTAACACAAAGGTTAGCAAACCCAAGCAACCAGCCGCTGCAGCAGCCACCTCGCACCCCGCTCTGATGCACCCTCTAACTGGACGTAAGTATGCACCGCCACCAAAACAAAGAAAACTTCACTCGCTCTTTCTCTTCCCTCCTTCCTTATTTCACATGATTATACGTTTGACTCGCCTCTCTCTCTCTCTCTCTCTCTCTTTGTATCTGCCTCATTTTCTTTAGTGCCCTTCCTAACTAGAAAAACTATCCGAGGCAAGGATTCATTGTCGAAAATTACACACACCAAAAGCAGCCAGCTAGTTCTAGCTCTCTCTTTACTCTCTCTCTTTCTCTTTCTCTCTCTCTCTCTCTCGCTCTCTCTCTCTCTCGCTCTCTCTCTCTCTCTCTTTTTCTCTCTCTGTCTAGCTAACTGTACTCAGCATTATCGTATGCCGGATAATCTAACAAATATTATGTATACATGCAAGCTTTACTGCAGCTTTTATGCTTTTTTTTGGCTTGAATCCTTACCTCGCGTGTATGAGCTGTGTTATATATACATATTACTTGAACGTAGAAGAGGCACATACGTTATTTTCATCTTTTTCTTTCGTTTTGTATTTGTTGGTTTGCCTTTTATACAACCTCCGACAACTGTTGTCTTGTTTTGTTTTCCACCTAACCGCTCTCTCTCTCTCTCTCCCCCTCTCCCCTTTTTCACTCTTTCGAGAGACATACATCTAAAGAGTTTGTTTATTTTTGATCACTGACATACACGAATGTACAAATGGCTGACGTTTTTGTCTTTGAATGTTACATCCCTAATTTTTATGACGCAGAGTTGTTATATACGTTTGGTAGTTGAGGAAGCGATGAAATTTATCAACTCTGTGATACATTCGTGTTCATCACGGTTATTTTTTTCCACGGGATATGTAACAAGATCATTTATAAATAAAAAAAACACATGTATACGCCAATGAAAATGATCGAAGAAGCTATTTGAATGATATTGTTGCGACAGAAGTAATATTAATCGATGATAATTGGTATCTGTCCATCCGTCCATCCGTCTGTCTGTCTCTCTCTTTCTCTTTCTGCAGCGTAGAGCTCGATAACGGTTTACATATGCACGCACGCAGCGCGAGCTATGCCATCGGCCTAATTAACTCGCATAATTATCTCGCCGCCGCGAGGCAGTTGAAGAATCGTTTATATGCAAATTGGCAATCGATGTACCCGCGAAATTAGTTACGCGGGTGCGCGTACGACGAATCAATGTGATTTTCCTTCCGCGTTCGCGTGTGCGTTAACGGCGATCGGGACGAAACAAAGGAAACTCGGCGCGCGCCGAGATGATAGCCCTTGGCGACTGGCTTCCGAGCCGCACAAGACATAAGGCTGCAGGCGAAACTGTCGGTCGAGTCTGAAATGAATCTATATGCAGCCGACACTGCGCCACGCTCCTTGTGTACACACAGGCCCTTTCGTACTTCGGCCAGATACGTCTATACCTTGAGAGCTCGCGGGCGACGGGCGTTTATCTTCATCCCCCTTACTCGAGCGCCAATAATAAGGAAGAGAAAGGCTCCGCTGAATGAAGATCGATAATACGAGCTGACCTCAAAGCAAAGAGAAAAAGCAACACTAGTGAACGCACTCGAAAACAAAGGGGGCTTCCTCCTCGTGGATTTGAATGGACGTTTGCGAATTGATCGATCGACCATCAAGGTGTTTGCTGCTTCGATTAAAAGGTGTACGGCGTTATATATCCGTCGTTCGCGGAGAATAATAAATGGCAGTAGATGTGTTTATAGGATCGATGAAAATGTAGTTACAAGCACGCTCGGGAGGGGAGTGGGCGGATGGGGACTTTCGTAGAAATGTAACCGGCTTTGCAGCGAGCTGAGCCGTTAAATAATGCAGGGGCTCGAGTTTACAAGCGTTATTTTCGTAGCGGGGGCAACCTGATTCCCCTTCGCCGTCGATTGAATATTTAAAAGAGAAAGAGAGCGGGCGCGCGGCGGCGCATCGAGGTGACGCGCTCTCTCTCTCTCTCTCTCTCTCTCTCTCTCTCTCTCTCTCTCTCTCGCTCTCTCTTTCCACTCGGAAGCGGTCGGCAGAGAGAGCAGCGGCCGGAACGAACTCGCAGCCCAAAAACTCGGCTGGCCGCGAAAACAATGACTCCTTCTTCTCTTTCTCGCGCAACCTCCTTTCATTCTCGATCGAAGCTGCACGCGCGGTCGGCAATGATAGAGAGAGAGAGAGAGAGAGAGAGAGCTCCGCTCGCGTGCGCGCGCGTACACGTTAATAAAGCATGATGCACCGGTCACGCAAGGTCTTAATATACCAAATGCTAGAGACGCGGGTATTTGCGGAGAAAATGTTTTACTCTATAGCGTATGGGTCGATTCGACAAGTATATAGAGCTATTGGGACATGTCTTTGACCGTTTATGAGACGCTCGACGCTTTTGCAAGGGTAGAGAAAATTTCTTTTCTTTTTTTTTTCTACAGCGGATACTCGAAAGCTTTGAAGAGCTCTTGCCTTTGATCCCCCGGGAGTGAGCGACTTTGCTAATGATGAGCAAATTCTTCTTTTTGATACACGTCGAGTGTTATTTGCCAATTTGTAACTGGATTGCGTGCATATAAAGCGGGATCGCGCTTAAAAAATATGGAACGCTCGGCAGAAGGTTTATTCAGCAGGATAAACAAGCCGATCGAAGCCGCGGTCAAATAAACGCCAGATAAGGCAAAGCGAAAAAAAAAAATCATTATCGAGCTTTAACCAAATGAGAAATATCGCGGCGCACTTGGAACGATAATTGATGGCTAACGAATTGTTGTTGCAGCGCTAGGAAGCCCATTCTTCCCGGGTGGTCCGGAATTGTGGCCACATCCACTGGCATACTCGACGGCGGCGGGCGAGCTGCCGGGTGCACTGCAGCATGCGACTCTCGTGCATCCCGCGTTACATCCACAGGTCCCCGTACGTTCCTACCTTTGACTATCTGCAGACAAAGCTCTGGAGCCGCCGACGAGCGCCCCTATGCACGTTAGTGACTCTTCAGTCTCAATCTCAATGTCTGTCGTTTCAGCACCACGGAGTTTCGATTCGCGCGCGCGCACCTTCCCGCCGTATCGTTCGCTTCCGATCGCGCCGACACGTATCGCATTCGGACCGAGTCGCTCAGCGCAATTCAATTGGTCTGCTTTTCTCTTGACTCTAGCAACAAGCGGCAATGTCCATGCCGCATCCGACCACTCTGACGTCCATTCACGCGTCGCTGCCGCACTTCTTACCGTCGCCGGCACTCGCCTCGCCGGTCGGCTCGTCATCCTCGCAGCCCAACATCGCCGTCAGCAACGCACCATGCTCCACTCTGTTTGTCGCCAACCTCGGCCAGTTTGTCTCCGAGCACGAACTCAAGGAGATCTTCAACAGGTTAGTACTAGCTTCTCGTTTGGCTTTTGGTTTCTCGTGTGTTATTCGTTGTTGCGCGTGCTGTGTGAAGGCGACGCGTGGGTTTTCTTATTTATTTATGTTGTATGCGTTTGCTATGGATTTTTTTGGTGGATACATCGGGGACCTCTAGTCTCGGTTTTCCTTCGATTCGCCAAGTTTCAAGTCCTCGAGAGCTTTTTCTTTCAAAGACTTTTCCCTTTTGCAAGTTTCTAACGAATACGCACCGAGACGTAACTTAAGAAGGCGTGATTTATTCAAACTTGGCGGCAAAGTGTTTTGCTCGAAGAAAGTGTGCAAAGAACGCATTGAGCGCGGATCCTTGAGGAAAAGTTGCGGTCTACTCGGACGAGCGCGCGACGCATTGGCACGGCGTGCACAGTGACGTGCGCGTGCGCAAGCGAACCAAGTTTTGAGATTGCATTGACAAGAAACTTGGACAAGGAACTTGGACAGGGCAAACTTTTCCATTGACTTCGCAATTGGCGAAGCGCACGGCGGAGAACGCGCCGCCTCGCGGTCGTCACCTCCGCGCAATAACGATCGCCGCGCTTGCCCTTCGCCGGCAGTGTAACGCGAAATTCGACTCGAGGCGAGGCAAAATAATCGGCCGCTCGTTCTCGCTGTCGAAGTGCGTGCGCGCGGCAACGCAACGGAGAGCCGCGCGCGTATCTACGTGCACCGCTCGCATATGTTTAAGAGCGATAAGGCTAATCGCGCTTAGCCCGCTCACCTCGCGTGCAACCTACGCAACGTTCCCACGTACGTTTCTCTGCGAACAGGGCCAGCTATTTTCTTACAAAATTCCTTTTGTTCCGTCGGCCGCTGGCAGTTTTTTCCTCGTGGCTTCGCGCCGGCCTCCAACTCGGTGCTCGCGTCGAACAGCGAGATTTGGGGCACGTCGCGGAACAGCCCGTCCCGATTACGCACTCCCCCGATCCCTTCACTTGTAAAACAATTCTGTTGCGTAGATTTCTTTCTGTTGCTTACGTTGACATTCATCTCACACGTAGATTTCATAATTCAGCACAACGATCGTTCGTTCCTTTTCTCTTTCCCGCTCATGACTCACACCTGCGAATGTGCGCTTGCAGAAAAGTTTGCCTACAAAAAAGGAACAAGTAAAATTGTCAATAACGTCGGACTAATTTATTATTCCCACGCGGAACATACGTACAATCAATAAATAGTACGAGCGAGCAACAAGAGCTAAAGCAACGGCAATACCGCTCTTGTTTTACGTTTATAGCCGGCAAAAATCAATAAGCGAATTGCGCTACAGCTCCGCGTCCGTACATTTTCCATTTCGCGAAAGCTCCGCCTTAGAATCCGAGAGAACTTCAGATGAACGACGACGCGGCGATGGCGCGCGAGCTTGCGGCAGCGCCGCGTCGTCCTACAAATCAAACAACGAAGCTCGTTGTGCGCCCCACGACCGCGAGGAAAGCCTCCAAGAGGACGGAGTGCCGCGACGAAAAAAGGCAGCCGCTGCGCGCGCACAATGCGACTCGTTGTGATGTAGGCAAGTTCGCTTTCAAACTCGCTCTCTCCACTCTTGTTTTTTCTTGTTCTTTTTCTTTTTCTTTTTCTCTTTCTTTTTTTTTATCCCTGCGCGCACTGGTGCAATCCCCACTTAATGAGCATAGCCACTGCCCATCCGTTCGATTCTAATTCAACTTTCAATTTTCGCTCGTCCGATCGTTCTCCTCTCCGCTCGCCGAACAAAAACGCATTGCTCGCCGCGATTAATTGCCGCGCCAATTATTTGCGGTGCTCTACTTCTTACGAATGTACAGTTCTTATACGACTATAGCAGTGTAATTTCTCGTTTCAATAATTCAAAGTAAAAGACAAGTGGATTCGCGATGACGTCAAAGCCGTGCGTCCAACAAGTAAAATAGGCTCGGATGCATGAAATATGTAAGCTCTCGATACGAGCATCGAGTGATTTCCATCCTGAACGCGCATTCGTCGAGGTCGGATAAAAGGTGAGGAGCGAAAAACTTGCGGGCGATATCTTCGTTCCAGCCTCGTGGCCGCAACGGCGGAGACACGGCTCCGGGCAGATATCGCACGTACATCTTGAGCGAAACGAGCGAAAACGCGCGCATTGTGCATTGGAGGTGCCGCGGCGACACGGCAGGTATCTCGTTATCGCGCGCGCGATGCGCCCGTCGTCGAGGGATCGAGACCTTGCCGCCCCTTCGGCGAGCTTTACGGTCACGCGACCCGGCTACGACTGTACATCCGTGAAGCGCGAGACCAGAGGCGGGGGCAACAATGGGGATGAGCTAGCTCATAAGAGCGAGGATTGCATCAACGAGCCCGCATAGTATGTTGTACCTGTGATGATCAATCTCTTGTGCACAGTTTTCCTGGTTTCTGTCGGCTTCGTATGCACACGAAAGGGGGCTCGCCGGTGGCCTTTGTCGAATACCAAGACGTACGCTACGCGGCCCAAGCGATGGCCACGCTCCAGGGATCCTTACTCGTCTCCTCCGACCGGGGAGCCATAAGAATCGAATACGCTAAGTCGAAAATGGCCGAGGTGGGCTTTACAAATCTCTGGATGGAAGTAGGTTTCATTCTCTCTCTCTCTCTCTCATCTCAACAAGTCTCTCTCTCTCTCTCTCTCTCTCATCTCAACAAGTCTCTCTCTCTCTCTCTCTCTCTCATCTCAACAAGTCTCTCTCTCTCTCTCTCTCTCTCTCTCTCTCTTCTCTTCTCTTTTTTTTTATTGCACGGATCATCGAATGCTATGGCTTTCTTTTTTTTCTCTCTCCTTTATTATAGCTCTCTCCGTGCGCGATGAAAAATCATTCGCTTGGCTGCCTCCCCCCCCCCCCCCCCCCCCCTCCGCCCCAAGACAATTGAGCCGCTATAATTTATGCCGACAGAGAGTAACCAAGCTAAAGATCTATTCTCTCTGTTGTTTTCTTTTTAGTTCTCTGATTGCTTTTTTTCTTTTCTTTCCACTGCGTTAATGTTGCGCTACTGTGCTCTGCCCCCCGCCCCCCTCTCTCTAACTGTAAATCGCTTTTGTTTGTTGAGTTTTCTAGCTCCTGTCCTACTATTGACAGTTATTTCTTATGAATATTGCATCCAGCTTGTTGCTTGTGTATGCTTGTACTGATGATAGCCATACGTCGAATAATCTCTCGCGAGAAATTTTTATATTTAGACTGCAAATAGTTGCTTGACGAAATGAGTGTTGTTTTTTTCGTTACCTCATGCGCTGATGTTATTGAAGAGCTTGCCACAGATAATGGAGTGGCTTTTGTGAATGTATGAACCATTCGTTACACGGTTATCAACGTAAGGGCGTTCTGTTGTCTATAAAAATCAGTAGAAGCTTGGAAGTGTTTGTGTGGTCTTATGGATATTTTTTCAGCTGTTTACTTTGTACACCTTTTCAAATACCAAATTTTCAGATCAATTTTGTTATATAAAAAAGAAAAGGTGAACACTTTGGAGATACTCCGCGTGCAACTGACGCAAAGTCTAACGAAAATACGTGCTACGAATACGTCATAAAGCTTGTGTGGTGAAAATGAGAAACAAAGACTAAACTCAGTTATGTGGTATGCATTGCAGGGATCCAAGGGAGAAGAAAACGGGCAACCTTAAAATCGACATAAATGGCATGTGAAGCTGACGCAGCAGCAGCAGCAGCAGCAGCAGCACGAGGATTCGACCGACAAACTACAATGGCAACAGCAGCATTGCCGACGACGACGTAAGAAGATTTTCGGCGCTCGTGAGAGAAAAGGGGAAATAGCGCTCGGGGCATCTAAGCTTCTCTTTAGATATATATGTTTTTTTTCTTGTTCTCTCATTTGCCTCCTCAAAGGAGAAAGAGCGACAGTTCGAAGGAACGGCGCATGACCGAAACAAAAAAAAATTGTTTTTTTTTCTCTTCTTGTTCTTACATTTTTGGCGCTGACATGCTCGTAGTTATATTTGAGATATTTCGTTTATTTCATTGTATGAGCAACTTTACTTAACCAGTAAGGAGAAGAAACGAAAGCGCCTTGCGTTCACGTGTTTTATTTTTCGATAATATGATTGTTCGCGCTCGCGCGACTGCGAGCTATACATTTGACCAACTTGTGTAAGGAAAAGCAGGAGTATTCAATGAATATCGATACATATCAATCCAGGGGATTATGTAGTAAAACCACGTACGTTTTAAGCAGGGTGCAATTACGCAATGTAACCGATGAAAGTAAAAGCAAACTAACGAATGAAAGTAAAAGTTAGGCTAAAGACGAAGCGCGAGAAAATTTATAAAAGTAAAAAAAATGAAACTAAATAAAAAAAAAAAAAACACAAACACGGGGCCTTCGAGTCGACTGCTTGCAACGCGTCCCCGCGGGGGGCAGCCGCGTCGACGCGCTGCAGCAGCGAGATAATGAAATTAATTGCTGACGAGAAGAGAGTAAATATTAAATAATCGTTATAAAACAAAAAGGAGATTCGCGAGAAACGCGATAGTCGTCAATGAATTTGAATGTAAAAAGGCACTGTTAAGGTCACGAAGACACACACACATAATACACGTGATTAAAAAGAGCGAAAGAAGCAGAACGAGCGCGCGTACGAAAGAGAGCGAGAGAGAGAGAGAGAGAGAGAGAGAGAGAGAGAGAAAGAGAGAATAAAACACTTAAACTAACATATAACACGCAATTAGGATCGTCGAACAGCGTCGACAATGAGAGTCAGCTGCACACACACTGCATTTTTGAGAGAATCTTTCTGCGTGAGAACGAGCGCGTGCGTGAGAGAAAGAGATTTTTCGACGCTAGGTAACAACATCAAGCTTAATACCAAAGGTGCCCTAAAAAAACAAAACAAACAAATGAAAGTAAGAGACAAACAAAAGAAAATGAAGACAAAAATAACGTTCTATCAACTTGTCTTGTTTCGAGAGAGAAGAAAACGAGCCGAACGCAACTTTTGTGCTGAATCTCATTATAACGGATGTAGCGATGATAATTGGGGTGGGCTTCGGACACACACACACACACACACTCACATGTACACGTACACGATGACGGAGACGCGAGACACAGTCACAATTACAGATTGGCGGTTGATGGGATGGGCAGTTAGAAAGCGTAATTATATATGAATCTGTCGATGGGTTTTAAGAGATATATACATTTATGATATTATCATGTAAACGAATGCAAACATATCAGTAGGCTTAAGATCCTTAGCGAAGAAAAAAAACAACAGACACAATTGTAAACGCATATACTTATTTATCGTACGTATCGTCATGTAGAGACGACTTAAACGGCAGGAAAACAGCAGTAGTAGAATGACGAGTGTGCATGTGTACGTACGCGGCTGTGGTTTGCACATTTCGGATGTACGCGATTCTTCAATTCGTTTTCTGTTCATCAAAAAGACTGATTCACGCATAATAATCCACAAAGTGTGCAATGAGCAAGTTGGACAAAAACTGGTCGTTGCTCTGAGTTTTTTTCAGACAATGGAAAGTGCAGCGTGTAAAGATTCTGTCTCTAATCGCGGCGCAGAATCGTTGCTGTGGTTTAAGGTCCGAAAATAAAAAAGGGAGACTCGACCTGTTTTTTTTTATTTTTATTTTGCCTTATTTCGCGTATATGCACGTCTTCTCTCACGAAGGCAAGTTCAACGACCGGTCGAATTCAAACGTGACTACTCTTTGGCTCTCAACAGAAGCAGCAGTAGCAGTATTAGTTGGCCGCAGGCTGCACGTGCAGATCGATTCTTGTTCTTCATCGCCGTCGCGCTGTTCGTTCGCAGCAATGTTTACGGGAAAATGTCAATTACGCTTGGGAAAAAAGAAACGCGAAAGAAAAAGAAAGCGAAAGGAGGGAGGGAGGGAGAGAGAGAGAATAAAAAAAAAAGAGGGCGACCAACTCGGCACGTAATCTCGCCCGAGTGCCTTTCCAGTCGGCCGAGTCATGCTGCTCTGCGTTCCCTCGTTGTTACGTGAGAAAGTCGTCGTCGTCGTCGTCGTCGTCGCGGGTCAGAGTTGATTTTTCGGAGATTAGTGCCGGACAACTTGACTTGAGAATTCGCGTGAGAGTCAGGCTTCTTCGTCTTCTTTCGTTTCGTTTCTGTTTTTCAAATTCTTCTTCGTCTATTTCACGCTCGACCGCGTCACTTCCGGCCGCGTTACACACTGTTTTTTCATTTCCGCGCGCTCGCGAAACATCGTCAATTTTCAACGTATAGTTTTTTTTTCTACGGAACAAACACTTTTCACGACCAGAAAGACAAAACGAACGAGAAACAAGGTTCCTTATTTGCGAGCATGGGGCTGGACGATACGAAGACACACTCAGACACACGCACACACACATACGACAACACAAACATATACTTATAATGAGAGACTCGGAAAGTATAATGAAGGATAATCGTCACCGCGCACTGGCGATAGACATGTGGCGGTGTAGGTTGAATTTAAAGTGCTTTAACAAAAAAAAATGAACTAACTCATATCAGTAGGCTTAGTGAACGCTATATATTATTATTGAAGATGAATTAAGTATATTATATAGAATTACTAAAAGTAAACGAGGTAAGAGGATAATTTAGAGCGGTTTATTCGCGTGTAAGTTTTACTATTTAAACAGCAACGGCAAACAACAAACAAACGACAAAAAAAGAAAAAAACCATAGATGTTATTTACACGATACGTTTCTAATCCTTTTTTGCTTCGTTTCGTACCTGATTGCGTTTACATTGTGCGCGTACGACTTTTTATTATTAATATTATACAAGGCGCGTGCGAGCGCATCCTCGTCTTTGTTTTTTAATATCGTTGTATACGTATTCCTAATGTGTGTGTGTGTGTGTGCGTGCGTGCGTGCGTGCGTGCGCGCGCGCGTGTGTTACAATTCGTTAAATGTATTTTCTCCTTATACTTTGTAAGAATTGCACGACGATGCACGTCGAACTGAGCTTTGTTTCATATAATTTACGACATTGAAGTGACTCAACGTATGGACTCAATTCGGCGTGTCACGCGTTCTCTTATTAATGTTTTATTTCTTCGGTGAAGGGAAGTCAAGTGTATCAACGTCGATTAGCAACGCGAAATATATAGTACGCGAGAAGTATGAAGAAACTCTTGATATCGGAGCTTTCTCTGTAATCTGTCCACTGGCAACTGTATTCCTCCTTCAAATGAAAGTAATTATGAGAATGAGATAGAGGGAAAAAATAACGAAGCAATGTAAACGTAATCGTCATAGATGAAAGTATAATAGGACGTAAGCTGTGTCGCATAACATGGAATAATACAAAAAAATGGAAAACGAGTAAAAAAAAGTAAAGAAGCAACAACCAACTATACATATAAACATAGTGTAATCGAGTGTGTGTGTACGGAAATATTAAGAAAAAGACAAACAAGCAGCTACAAAGGTTTTACATGTCAATCAGCTATTTTCTACCGTGTCAATAGTAACGAGTACGTAAACGTCGTTTCTAAGGGGTTGTCCCCCATATTGATATGTATATCTTTTTTTAACATCGCGCTGACAGAGGCAGAGAGAAAGTGGGAGAAAGAGAGAAGAGAGAGAGAGAGAGAGAGAGAGAGAGAGAGAAAGAGAGAATAGAGAAAAAGCCAGAAGCACGCGGCACGTTTTTTTTTTTCTTTTTCCACGTTGTAATACTTATACTACGCATGATGCAGAGCCTTTTTGCGAGCTTTCGCCTCGTCGAGCAATGTATACACAGAATGATTACAACGATTTTTTGCAAAAAAATTTTCGAGTCTTTAAGCTGCGCTGTAGACGAGATCTGTGCTTGCAGAGAGTGCGCGAGTGCACGAGCAACGCTCACACGTCGATTTGGTTTTTCCAAATAAATAAATAAATAAATAAAAAAGTTAATGAAAAGAGAAAAAGACGACGGAAGATGTACTTACACAAGTACAGTGGAAAGAAAAAATTTTTGCGAAAGCTTGAGTGAGACGAGCTTATATAAAGGGTGTGTAAACTTTGTAGTATAACGTTGAAGCGGAACGCGAGTTGAATTTCTCTCGTGTGTGTTTTTATTATATTGCGTAGTATTTCTTTCGTTGTTGTATGGCTCTCTTTCGGGGATATTTATATTATATATATATACACATGTTGAGCTGCGGGAAAAGTGGAAAAATGAAAGTAACGTGTAATCATTGACAGTGGTATAATCACCAAAGATGTCGATTCCAAAGACGTACAAAACGTATAAAACAAATGAAAGTACTAAAGTAAATACCACGCACGCACGGAACCGCCGAGCAATCATGATGACAAGTCGACGAGAAAGGTAGAGAAGGAGAGTGAGAGAGAGAGAGAGAAGACACAATTTGTATCGCTAGCTGTGAGAAAAATGAAAGTAAGAAGAGTGTGACGGTTTATTATTTTTAAGAAAAAACCTTTTTTCAAACTAACGACGCGTTAATTGCGCGATATTTACCGTAGATTTTAAGTCGATGGCATTGTCAGTAGTGGGGAAAAGTGTATAAGCGACGCAGACAGCGTCGATGTGATAAAGTCAATATTCGGACGAGAACTAAGCAAACAAAAGAAAAATGATAACACAGGCGTGAAATCAATGAAAGTTTAAATGCTTGTGATTCGCGAAATTTCCGAGGCGCTTATTAGCTTTTTACCCTTCGAAAAGACACTATTGTATAACGTGTTTGCGTCGAATAATAACTTTTGTAATGGCGTTTTTTATTGGCGAAAAACAGAAGCAAAAACGTGAGCTATATATTTCGCTTTTGAATGATGAGAGAACACGATTGAAAGTATATCGATATACATATCATTGCGAGCAAAGGTGAAAGGAGGCGAATCTTTTTAGGCTGACATAAGTAAAGTTAGGTGACTTATCAAATGAAAGTATGACAAAACAAATACCAAGTAATTAATGCAAACCTGCGTCAATTTTCAACGTCAACGTTGTGTATATTGTATTTTACGAAATAAGAGCCTCGAAAATGGAGGATGCAATAGCGGTTATTAGTAAAGCAAAGCAAAGAAGTTTGATTCGTTGACATATATATTTACAGAAAAATCTATTAGGCAAATTAAATTGTATAAGAAACGCCACATACGCACGCGACAATTTAAAAGAGCGTTCTTATAGTAGAATTAAATTTTTTTGAAAAATAAGTGAAAAATTTTAAATCGTTTTTAATCAACTGTTGATTATTGAATGCAACATGTTAATGATCGGCGTTCAAAAATGCCGTTCGCGAGCACCATTTAAGGAAAAACCTTTCAAGATTATAATTAAATCTAATAAAAAAATACATTGGAAAAGTAAAAAAAAATTACGTTCGCTATTGATCGAGCTGAAAGCTGAAAAAATACGATTCCTTTATGCAACTTGTTGTGAGACGATGATGAACATGCATTGTTTGTGTTTGTTGCATCCTTATTTTCGGAAAATCTCGTCCGTAGCGAGAAAATATGAGGATAAAACCTTAGCCCGAGAATAATTAATCCATACGATGTGTGTGCGTGTGCGTGTATATAGGCGCGTCGTCGTTTGTGTGTACAACGTGCCTACGTAAGCTTTTTTCCCCGCCGCGCGATACGCGAGTCTGTGTCTGTGTGTGCGCGTGTGTGTGTGCGTGTACATTAGCTTTGGAAGATCCGCCGCAAGTTACGTAGTCGAGCTCTCCGCGGCTCTGCCAATTTTTTCTTCTCTGTTTTTTTTGTTACCACGACCGTTTTTATTGCTTTGGTTAGCCGGAAGCCACACTTCCGGGTGGGTTGGTCGAATTGTATGCCCGTTCCACTCGAGAGGTCTCGCTGTGCGCGAGTTTTGCTTTCCGTTCGGACACAATGCCACCTCTAAACTATATGCTAATTGCCAACACCGTAACGAAAGAGAGAGAGAGAGAGAGAGAGAGAGAGAGAGAGAGAGAGAGAGAGAGAGAGAGAGAGAGAGAGAGAGAGAGAGAGAGAGAGAGAGAGATTAATATGATTTTTTATTGTTTCGCCTGCTCTCTCTCTCTCCTTCTCTCTCAGTGCTCGGTGTCATGGTCACATTTTACCTACTGGTATTATAACTCAATTGTCTGTTCTGCGACAAAGTATTGTTTGTCTCTCGAGGTAGAGGTTACGTGGCGAGGCCGGGATAACGATAATCGCGAACTAGCGTCGAAAAAAGAAATCTAAGAGCGAGAGAAAGCTAACAACCGGTAATATTGTTCCTGCACAATTACACTCGCGCAATGGTGAGATAAGCACGCGAGGCCGTTTTTCCCGGTAAAGGTATTAAACGTATAGAGGCGCGGAGAGCAAACAAGAGAAATTAACGAAAACACGTAGAAAAGGTCACGCAGCGTGAGATCGAGACCTGGATAGAAAATAGGCAAGGAAGCGGAGTTTAGAGTTAAAATAATAAGTATAGTTGCAGCTTTCTGTGTGAGGTTATTGTGATACTTAAGGATAAACAAAATATAAACAAATTAACAAAAAAAATATAAAAAACAGCAGTTCTGCAATAGCATAATCTTCGCGGCGTCGCGGCGACGTCTTAGGAACATGGATATTTACATAGAATTACTATATGAACAATATCTCGAGTAAACGATGAAATATTTATTAATGTCAAGTAAGAAAATTAAATAGGGAGGGGGGGGGGTGTAAAAGAGTTTGATATGTGAAAAGGAGGTTGCGCGTAATAGAAAGAAGAAGGAAACGAGAAGGCGCGAGCGATCGGTGCGAGCGATTTTAATCCTCTCGAGCGTGAATTGTACGCAATCGAGGGGTCGATAGCGTTGTTGTTTGTGTCGAGTATAAGGCAAACAACATCCGTGTTCCCTGAACGGTCGAAATGGCTTCTTTGGTTCGTGACGGATGCATCGTTATCGCATCTTTCCGCAATTGGACGCGGCTTCAGCGTCGCCAACAGAACTGCGCGTACGAATGCGATTGTCATTATGTTAGACCTGCTCAGTGAAACATTCATTCTTACGCCAATACGCGTGAGCGGCGTTATTGTCAATTCGGTGGCGCACGCAAAAACCGATGCACTCGTCACGAAGGAATACATATAAGGTGCACCAGGAGCATACAGGGGATCTATCGTCCCATGCACTTGGCCACAAGAGCCCCTCTACGCCCTTGGTACACAATGTGCTATTTTATTTATCGCAAAGTAATGTTCTTAACTGGTGTGAATTTTTTCTGTCCCGATGACAAGTCTTTGAATCTCATCAACTATGTAATAACTAAGCAAAACTACTCGCAATATCCGCGCCAAGGGAACAGCCATATACAAAGAGTCCGTAGAGTTGGTAATAGGCAAAGAAAAATTAAAAAAAAAAAAAAATAAAATAATAATACGTTGAAGAGACAATCCGAGGCTTCGTCGATGGAGGAAAGAGACGCGAGCGCTTGAACAGCTGTCGGCGAGCGCGAGGTGAAAGGATCACGCGCGGCGCGGGCGCGCGCACGGACACACGCGCCTCTCGACGAGCCCTCGACGAAACGCGCGCGAAAGCAAAGTTAAAGTGAAAGAAAAAAAAATGAAATAAAATAAAACGTTGAAAATAAGTTTTAAATGTAAAAGAAAAGAGGAAACCATAAATCCGTCCATAAGCGCGGCCCGCGCGCGGCGTACTTAAGAATTGTCGACGCGGCGCGGGCGGCGCGCCGCACAATCGCGTGCATATTAATCATTGGGACTACAAAAACATATCATCGTAAAGCTGTAATAATGACTACGATTATTAATTAGTAAACGATTACAATTAAATATTATAATGATTATTATATACTTCTTACGACTATGACGATATATATTATATATATAATATATTACGAATTATTTACTATTTAAAGAAGAAGAAAAAAACACACAAGTAACAAAAAATACAAAAAACAGAGACACAGATGTGCGAGAGATGTTTAAAGTGTGCGCGAGATTGCGGAGATAATGTATCGATGTAGTAGGAATGTTGAAAGTGAGTCCATGTAAACTCTGTATTACGAAGAGTGAAATTAAGCAGTAGACGATGAAAGTGTATAAGAACAGAAGAAAGCAAACAAAAGAAAATGAAAGTAAGTAGTAACATTGAAAGTAAAGAGAGAATCACCTAAGCAATAAGATTATATTTATAATAACGCCCCGTGTAAGCGTCGAACTCGAGTGCATAATTGCGAGGTATATATATTATATATATTATATATTCAAAGAATTATAAACCGCGATACATTCATTGTAAAACATGCATATCAATACATGTGTGTGTCTGGGCAAGGATTAGCTTACTAATGGATTAATTAATAAATTAATTATTATAATTATTATGATTATTATTGATTATATAATTACATATTAAAAAAAAGTGTCGACGATTGCGCAGAAGGGATATATATATATGAGACTATGACATAATCAATTATTACTTCTTCGTTATCGCCGATTCGAGCAAAAAAGAGTGGCGTTAAATGTTATCAGTGGATAAAAACAACATATATTTAAGTATTTTAACGACATCATTACAACAGTGATTATTATTATTAGTATTATTATTTTTATTTACTATTATTATTGCTATAATAATATTATTATTATTATTATTATTATTATTATTATCTCATGATTAAATTCGTATCATTGTCAATTTTACAAATGTGAATGATTTATTATTTTTTAACCGTCTTCTTTAATACGTAGATTAATATTCTTATAATTTTATTATATACTTAGACGCGATTATTATGGATATTTTTACTTTATTCATTATAATTATATAAATTATAGGCAGATAATTGAAGTGACGTTTGTATTAATGAAGATAATTACCATTGTCAAAGTATTTCTTTGGGGTTTAGTAAAACTTTGGTAGCAATAAACATTAGTTAAAAATATGATTTTCCGTTTGTATTTTTTTATTTATAATATTGACATCCATGACTCAACATCTTTTTTGGTAGGTATATATTTTCTGGGAAAACAAGCATGCTTCAAATCTCGTCTGGTATACGATGTATCGATAAATAAAGTTAGAAACATTTACGATAAAGTGATTTCACCTTTATGTGGCCACTTTTAGTATTAAAATGTATTATATCGTACTGAAATTGATATTCTACTTTCACTGCTTTATATTTTTATTTTTCTAATCAAGTTCTTCATAGTTAGTACAACTAAAATTATTTTGTTTAAAAAACCGTACATTCTTTTATTAATAAATTCTTTTATTTAAAAGATGCATTTCCATGCCTGTCTTCTGATTAACTTATAATCCATAGTATATAGAAATTGCACATAAAATAAAAATATTCAAGATTGAAACTTTTCAAGTTTACTACCGCTGTATCAGAGGTCGCTGTAAGCGGGTCACGCGATTATTAAATAGCTTCTAGCGGGAAAAAAGAAATGCAGCCAGAAATTTAATCTAACTAGGTTATACGAAACACTGTATTTACACTTGTTTCGTTAGCAATCATATAAAGTTAATTATTGAAAATGGTACGGCTTAATCCAGAAGAAGAATTAACATGCTCGTTTGAACGTAAAAAAGTAGAATACGTTGATCATACAGGTAGATTTAAAAAAGAAGGAGAGAATTACACTAAACAATTTGCGAGTATTTATGTGAAAAGACTTGAAGAGTTATCAGAAATTCTTAAAGGAAAGGTTTTTGCTAAATGGGGTAAGAATTATATTATTTATAAGCTTTCATAATAAACTTATTTAGTAAACTTATTACTTATAATTTTATTATCATAAAAAACGTTAGGGCATACAGTGAACTTGATTCCATTGTCAGAACTAGAAGAACAAGATGGTAAAAAATGTGCTATTATTGGTACTTTATACAAACATCAACCAAATAAGCCATCTATATTACAAGAACTTAGTGAAGAACATCAAATGTCAGCACCAGTTATCAAAGCAGATTATTGTTCATCTGAAGACCAAGTATTTTTAGAAGATCAGACATCTCGTATCAAATTGACAGGAGATAAAGTGAATATCAAAGAATTAGTTACTGGTGTTGTTTGTGCTATTATAGGATCTGAAAATGCAAAAAGTACCTTTGAGGTAACATGATTAGTATGAACACTACCATTTGATTACTCCAAAATCTTTTCTGATAATATAATTTTTAGATAATATAATTTTTAGGTTGAAGATTGGTGTTATCCGGGTTTCCTAGTTCCAACATCACTTTCAAGACCACCTTCAACAGGAAAAATAGTTTTTCTGTCAGGTTTAGAACTGTCAACCACACCACCAAATTTGCCTTTAGATTTATTTATTGATTGGGTAGGAGGATTAGCAGGGTATTCAGACATGCAAGAAGATCAAGCATCAGTAGTTCGAGTAGTTATAGCAGGAAATAGTATCAAAGGCTGTGCCGATCAACATACAAGCAAAGGACTTGTTAGTGGAAGGGCAGAAGATGCAGCTGCTGCCAAGGATTTAGCAGATGGAACACAAAGACTTGATTCATTTCTTTATACACTTGGTCAGAATTGCTGTGTGACATTTCTTCCAGGACAATTTGATGTTACTACTCTCATGATGCCTCAACAAGCTATGCATCCTGCATCATTTCCCAAAGCTAAGAGGTTCATTATGCAAATTCCAAAAATGAAATTAATTTTTAAATTCATTCATATGTATAATAACAATATATTTAATTTTCAGATTGAAAAGTGTAAAAGGAGTAGTAAATCCATGGATTGGGAAAGTATCTGAAAGTATAATAATAGGAACTAGTGGTCAACCCATTCAAGATATTCAAAAAGTTTGTGGACTCGACACATTTTCAGCAATTGAATGGCTTGAAAAATCTTTAGAATGGAGACATTTGTGTCCAACAGCACCTGATACAATTGCATGTATGCCATTTTACCAAAGTGATCCTTTTATAATGAGAATGTGTCCTGACATCTACTTTGTTGGCAATATGGACAAATTTGAAACAAAACTTGTTGAAGGTATATAGGTATCTTTATATTAATTGAAAAATTACACCCATTACATAATTTTTAAAACCTCTTTTAGGTGAGAAAGGTCACAAAATTCGTCTTGTTTGTATTCCAAAGTTTGCTCATACACAAACTGCTGTAATTGTTGATTTAGAAAATTTAGATGCTACACCTATTTCTTTTGGAGCAGAATGAAATGATTAATAGTTTATAGTATTTATTTTGTTATTAAGATTTGCCTATGTTTTATATCAAAGACCATGTAAATAAACTTTTTGAAGTTATTTCTGTTGTTATATTATTATTTGAATCATATTTTTCGAAACAACACATAGAATGTGATAAACTTTCGTAATAAAATATTATCGTCAAAAGTTATATATATATGAATATTAAGATCTTACTGTAATCTTTGATGATACAAGAAATTCCGGAAGTTGTCTGCAACGTAAACGTAAACAAAGCCATTATACCAATTTTCTAGAAATGTTTTTATTCACCGGTCATCGATGTCTACCGTCCGCGCCAGCAGAATGCATTTTGTTTCTTCCGATTCGATTCTCAAAATGTAAACAAAGGAAACATACTTGTCTAAACACGTTCTATCTAATTTTACATCCACCGTAAGTAATGTAGTAGTTTTTCAGTTTATACATGTATGATTTAAGTGAATACATGAGAAACGAGTATTAACTGTATTAGTAAAACTATAAAATGTATACCCATGTTTTTGAAATTTTTGACAAAATCAGTAAAATAGTGCTTTTATAACCATGGTGAACAATGATATTTTGATGAACTTAACTTGATTACGAGATAATTTAAATATAATTAAATTTAATATTCAAAATAATTTTGTGTTTTTTAATAAAAAAAATCCGAAAATTTAGATTTGTATTGACCAATACAATAAATAAAATACAAAAAATAAATCCTAAGAGGAGATATTTGAAATAACAATATTAAAGTATAATAATAAAAAATACAAAGTAAATGTTAGGATGAGTGAAATTTCGAAACAAAATAAATCAAGAAAAATATTTAAAGTACCACGACTAGTTGAAAGACGTAAAATCAAACTTCAACATTCACCAAAATGTGTAACTCCACCTGTAAACTACATCAGTAAGTAAGTAGTTTTTATTGTTAGTATATATAGTATGTTTGTTATATTTTAATATTTACATTTGATCTTGTGCCCAAAATATGAATCCAAAACTTACTTCTTTCAAATAAAAAATTCTATTTCTATTAAATGTTTGTTGAGGCTTTATAAAGGAATGTTATAAAATGGGATTTACAATAACGTTTACAATTATCAAATACATAGTTTTTATTTGGAAAATTCTGAATTTGGTGTATGCCAAATCAGAAAAAATGTTATGCATAAAATACGCATAAAAAAGAGAACTTATAAAAAATCTCATAAGTTTAAGTAATAAATGACAAATATAATCTTAATTGGTTTAACTTCTCGAAAACCTTTTTCTAGTGAAAGAGGCAAGATAAAATAACATATTCATTATTAAAATGTTACTCCCTACATGATGAAAAAAAATTAGTGTTTGATGTAAAATTTGATTTGTAGTGATTGCAAAACATGATTGAACTATTTTGATGAGCTAACAGAATGTCTACCTATGTTAAATGCACTTTGGTGTATTGTCTGGCACGTCTGCACCTAGTTAATCAAAGACACAATTCAGTAATAGCCTGCATTTTATCCTCGAAATCAGTCTCAGTTCCCCACAATTAGAAGCAAGACTTGACTTGGTTTAAAAAAGCAATCAAATCTCTTTATATGTACAAATTTTTAAAAAGTCTTGCAATTTCCAAAACATCCTCAGACTTCTCCCATTTTTTTGCCAATTCTTGATCTATGTTGGAAGACTAGATTAAGAGCTGTAAAACTACTTGAGATGTCCTTGAGTCTGATCAATCTTAATTAATGCCCTTAAATTTAATTACATTATATTGGCACCTGCTTAAAATTGCGTTTTCTTGGCAAATTTAATGATTATATTAATAAAAAGAAAGGAAAATAAAAAGAAACAGTGATATTTGTCTCTTGTGGAAGTTGAAATAATCAAGTCTTCAAACTTTTCATACACATAGCTGCTACCGAATTTTCAATGTACAATTAGTAAAAAAAAAGAAAAGAAAAAAAAGAAAAGAACGCTTTTATCATAAGCTCGGATCGAATTCGTGGTATCCTTCAGCCCCAGTGAATACGACGTCCACCCAAACGCGCATGGATTCGGGACTAGGAGCCATCAGGTGATAAAGTCTCGTTTTAGTCTTGACAACAAAAGTCAAGGATGGTTGTGGTGACTTGACGCTGTTCATATGATCCACGTAAACGAGTTCGATAGACTGAAAAAGAAACATAAAAGCACGATGACAAATCTAATCAACTGCGTGAATATGTATTTGACGTATTCTCACCTGGAAGTAAATGACTCCACGCGGTTTCCTCGAGTTATGATCGCTGTAATATGATAACGATTTTTCCTTTCTATCGAACACGAACCAGCGCTTGTTCCAATGATGAAATTTCTTGCTCATCTTGGATAAATATCCGGAGCAACTCGTTACGTCGACCGTCACGTCGTGGATTAGCGGCAGTTGGTGACCTGCTGTCTCGATGTGGTGCCTCAGATCCAGAGACTCAGACTTTATTGGCAAGTATCTTGTCAAAGGTCTCTGCGGAATATATCGTGCAAAGTTGCATGAATCCCAACTCTTTCTCTCGATATCAAAAGAGCGTTCGAGTGTAAAAAAAAAGGAAAAGGAACGAGCTCCGCGTGGTTAGGAAATTGGACGCAAGCTAAATGTAGACAGGATCGCCACGAAATGGGATATTCACGTCTGCTGCGAGCGAGATGTGCAAATCGATCTGCGCGCGTGTACCTGCAACTTGGGCTTGTCCCGGTGCTTGACTTGCATTGGACTGAGAGAATCCAATTCGCTGGAAGTTTGCGACAGAGGTCGGCTGCCGTTCTCGTCAATAGTCCCGTTTCCGTTCCCGCTGAATCTCTCCGTCTCCATTGACGTTGGCCTGTCGTTTCTCGCCTGCGCAATAATAAACAAACGAATGCAGCTCCCATCTTTATCTTCTGCCCAGGGTGAAATATCACGAGCGAGCCAATTGATGTATATGCTTACGTCGTCGCTAGGTAGCAGAGAGTAAGAGTTGCTCGACGGCCCAGGACTGCCGGCCGAGGTGAATTCCGACAGTTTGCCTGGAGACAATTTATCCGTGGTGCCGTTCTCCGCGCCGTCGCTGCTTCCGCTACCACTGTCAAGGAGATTTGCACGTTTGAATACCGTTGTTCTTGCCCGGATCGTAGGAGGACGTTCGTTATATTTGTCGAGGGCTTTCGATTGCGCGCGCCGCCTCTCTTACTGTCGCGGAGTTCTTTCCGTACATCTCGAGAAGCCAGCTCGTGACAGAATGACAAAAACGACACGTTGCATTTTCTTCCAGCGTCCTTGCGCAACGAAGCGAGATAGCGGCAGGCGTAAACTCACCTATTCGACAGACAGCAAGCGCGAGCAAGCCGATCCTTAGAATTGACGTAACACCTGCTGCTCGTGATAAGGGTAATGAGATTGCAGCCGGATCGACGCATCGCCCGGGTCGCTCCGCCGAGATTCACGCACATCGCTGCTGGCGTTCTCTTCTCGTTTTCACGGCGAAGGCGCGCGCTGCCGACAACGCCTTTGCACTGCCAGTCGAGCGTGTGTGCGAGGACAATGGCGACACGGCACTGCACCGTCTGCGTATATCTTATCGTCGCGCGCCCGCTTATCGTATGCCGCGCTGTGTGCAACGCTGGCCTATGCCTACTCGCGCACGTGCGTACGCGCGAGCGCGCGCGCGCGCTATCGGCGAGACGCCAGGGCGAAAACTGGTCTCTACCGCCGGTCCAGACACGCCGCGACGAAAACCGGTATGCTTCGTCGTGTACAGACCAGCCAGCGACCCCCTTTCTCTCACCACCGCGCAACATGCGCGCCCGAGCGCGGCCTTATGGAATTCACTCCTACTCGCTTGTGCATGACGTGTGGCGCGCTTAATTAATCAACGATCTCAAGGCTTCGCGCATCGCGATGCTGCGCTCGCCACTCGTTCTTGCTTCTACCTTTGCCGCGAGACAGCTGCGTTGGACGTTCACTTTTGTTTTAATTTTTGTGCTTTTGGATTTTCGAGACGAGCATCGTCGCCGATGCGTGGCCAACGGTCACGCTGGCGTTTTGGATTACGAAAGTAGGAAATGCATTTTTGGTTTGATTGCGTCGACAATGGCGTTCGCGCGTGGATGATAAAACTCAATTGCAGCGGTGATGTACAGTTTTTGTCACAGATGACGCACGCTACGCGCTCTCGCGGAAGGGCTTAATTTCGCTCACTTTAGGCTCAATCAACTTTCCAGCAAGAGAGGAGAGAGAGAGAGAGAATAGAAATAGCGTTCTCGTTTATTTTTCCGCAACGAGCGTTAAACCACAAAGTTTCGCACGAAGGTGTTTGCCGGTGTATATTGTTCCGATCGGAAAAGTTGCTTCTTTCTTTGCGGGGTCGAGTTTTATTGGATTTGAAATTACCTTTCGGTTGGTCCAGTCGAGTAGCTAGAAGACTCCTCGCCCGACTCCACGCTATTGAACGACGTGCAATTCATTTTCCTCTCCTCCCACTGCGAGCGAACTTCGTCCTGAACGCGGCGTTTCAGCTCCTCCACCCGGCGTCTCTCTTCCGAAATCACTTGGCTGCCTGTGTGCATTCCAGGCGAAATATAGACAAAGCATGTCCAGTTGTTATGTGAAAATCACCGCAGGCGATGGGCGGACGAGAAAGTTTTCAGCGTGTATAATTAGACGGAAATGCCAGTGTTAATGAGGCGTAAAAATAGATTATTTCGAGTTGTCGCTTGAGAAATTCCAGCTTGATTTCAGCTGGCTTTCAAGTGGTAAATTCCAAGGTGTTAAGATATGCGGAACTGTCATTTGGCAGGAGGAGAGAAAAGGAGAACTCACCTTGTTTAGCCAGGTGAAGCTGTCGATTGCGTTCGATTTCCTTGAGCGATTCGATGGTCTTTCTGCCGAGGCTGCCTTGGTTATTGACTATGGGCGAGTCATTCGTTACCCTGGATATCCTGTCGAAATCCTCGCGACTAGGCGAGCGCTTCTCGTCCGGATTGTCGGCGAGGTTTTTCGCTAAAGCGTCCAGCTCGTCGTCTATCGCTCGTACTCTATTGCGACCCTGCGTTCGGACGCGCAAAACAGGTGAATATCGCCTTTGAAGTGCTGAAATAGTGACGCGTGGGCACGTACCTCCTCGAGCCGACGCAAGTGCGCAAGCTTCTGCCTCTCCAGACTTTTGGCTTCCTTCGTGACTGCATTCTTGATGTCGTTGCGCTGCGCCTCCAGCTGGCTCAACTGTAACTTCCGGCTCTCGATTTTGGTCGTTAGCTCGCTCACGTGTCTGCAACGTGTACGCGCGTGCCACCATACATATCGCTCGCTCGCCGGCAATTGACTTTTAAGCAACGACAACAGCAACGACCTACCTCTGCAACTCCTCGCGGGCGGCGAGCTTGCTCGCCTCCTCTTCCAGGTGGTGAAACTCCAGGTCCTCGAACGCCTTCCTCTCGGTCTCGAGGAGATCCGTTTGCGCGGCCAGCCTGTCGGCGAGGTCGCTGTCCCTCTCGTCGTCGCGGCCCCGCGCCTCGGCCAATTCCTCCTCTAATCGCGCCACGGACTGCTGCGCTCTCGACACGCGTTGACGCGCTTCCGATTGCATTTGCGCTTGCGACGTGCTCTTCTCGCTCATCTCGTCCTCGAGCTCGTTGATTTTCACTTGGAGTCGCGATAACTCGCCTTCCTCTTGCTCCAGTTTAAGAGATTCCGACTCGTATTCCGCCGAGAGCAGAGCTTTTTCCAGTTCCAGCTGCGAATAACCGTACGATCTTATGTCATTGGATTTTCGATTCATTTTTTTTTTTTTTTCTGTTGCGGTCAATTTCGATCGTTAAACTTGAAAAATAGGTAAAAATAAAGTGGGAATTCAATACTAGCTTGTTTCTGCAACTGCAGTTGAATATAACATACACGTCGACACAGTTCTATTGGTCGTAGTAGGTTACAATTTCAGAATTCCATTGTCAAAGTAAATTTAGATGGAGACCGGTCGATAAGAATGAAGAGAAAGAGTGAGAGAGAGAAGCAAACCTCTCGATTAATCTCTTCCTCCTGCGTCTCAATATCCGCAACGCTTCGCTTGAAACCGTCCATATTGCCCAGTATATGCTGCTTCTCGTTCTGCAGGAATTCGATGTACTTCTTGCGGTCTTCCTTCTCAAGGACTTTCCTCTCCTTGTCGGCCTTGGCCTCATTGGACTTGGCATTGTCGCACTCGCTGTTGATCCTCTTAGGCGTCGTCGCTGCCGTCGTCGTTGTCGTGAGTAATCCACCGGAATTCCGTGGCTTCGACAGCATCGACAGCTGCTCGATCGCCTCGAGTAAGTCGTCGTTCGACACGTCCAGCTTGTTGTCGATCGTTATCTCGCGCGTTGCTGCTTTTTTCTTTGGCCTCGGCAGGCTCATGTTGTTCGGGTTGCTGGCGTTGTTGTTGCTCGTGCTCACGTTCTCGTAGATGCTTAGGTTGCCGTTGGCGCGTGGTCGGAAATTTTCATAATGGTGTACCGGTGGTTTCGTCGATTTTTCCGGTACTGCTGGGTTTGTCACCGGTGTTGTGCCTGATCAAAAGAAAAACGTCCATCCGTCGAATAACGCATTTTCACAAAGCGATCACTACAAGTTGTTATTTCTACCGTGGACAGTAGAAACAAATGTTTGGTCATTTTTATTGCAAAAAAGAATTTTTCGATCGTCGTTGCTATTAATTATCGCCCGATCGTCCGAAGAGATTGACACAACGATAATTAATTGGAAGAACTGCTACATGCGTTTCAATTGCCAAAATTATCCGACCGTCAATTATGCCAAAATCAATCAACAAACTTCAATTCCATAATCAAGACGGAATATCAAAGTGAGCCCTGGCGGAACTGGCTTTTCCCCTCCTCTAGTGAGGAAACTTCGGATCATCAATCAGCTCAGGAGAACCCGAGAAGAGATACGCCCCGATTATTCCGTAAGATAGATTATAAACGATATGTAGCAGTTGAAGTATCAAAAACTTACCATTAATCACATTCTGCCTTGTTTCTGTTGGCCACTTCGGTGTACAATTGTTGTTGGGCGTCGTGACCTGTTGGATATTCTCATAGGTCGGTGGTGAATTCGACCTCTTGTCACGCGTAAGTGTCCCATTCGTTTTGCAGCTCCTGCAGTTAGCGAAGTATACGCATATACTATACATCGATTGCTCGTTGTTTCGTCGCGCGTCGAGTATTATTTTTTTGCCCTCTCGCCTCTCTCTTTCGGCTGGCATTGTTCTCTTTTGCGGCTCGGTCGATCGTAGAACGACTCAAGCGCACTGTTTGTCGACGCGGTTTTCTTTTAATTGTCTCGCAGAGAGAGAGAGAGAGAGAGAGAGAGAGAGAGAGAGAGAGAGAGAGAGAGAGAGAGAGAACACGAACTGTAATGATTCTCGATAGGTCATAATAAGAACGGAAGTATTTTACACCGGAAGTCGAAAATACGCGAAAGGAAATCAAAGTCAGCGATGATGAAAGTACGACATCAGCCATTCGCTTTGACAATAGAGAACGTTTGCCCGTTAAAGAGAATAGAGTATGGCTGCTCGCAGCCGTAAGCTCGCCGAGTAGAAATGTGGCAAAGTCTTTCACGCCACCCGATGAGACTCGAAATTCGGAGAAGAAAAGAGATAGACATTCGACCGTACGCACGCAACGAGAGGAGAGCGTTTCCCATAGCGGTTGTTGCGCAAAACTTCGTATAGCGCTGCAAAAGCCACAAATACCAACCCGTTCTGCGGTTTGTCGGCCGTGGCGTGGCTTTGCCTCTCGTACTCGGCGCACATCGCCAGAATCTCCTCCAGCCTGAGCTTCTCCTGGCGCTTCTGCTCCTGCTCGCGCACGCGCTCCGCTTGCGCCTGCCGCCTGCGGTCCTCGGTCGCCACCTCCTGCTCGTACTTTTCCATCGCGCTCGCCTCTTCGCAATCGTCGTCCACTGCTGGCGCTGGGTGCGCAGCTTGCTGCGGACGCGGGCTTCTGATGCGCCCATACAGAGTACCGTATTTGCCGCCCGGATCACGATCGTACGCCGACGAGGGCGCTTGAATGCGCCGCATGCTCGGCTGCGGACTGAAGCATCTGCGAAAATGATTTCATTGAAAAGTAAGCTCGTCGCCGTAGTGCCGCGAATTTGGAACTTCTGTTAATAATCGAAAGCCAATAGTGACGCAACCAATCGATCTTTCATGAGGCAACGCCGCCAGTGCAATGAATAATTTACCGAGTTCAATTTGATTTCCCATGTAAATATAATCGTACCTTATTGAGGCGCTTATTAACTCTAGGGTCTTAGTTAAGTTTCTCAATGTAGTAAGTATATTACCGTCGAAACCGGTGAAATTGCAACGACAGCTAACCGATGATTTATCACCCGAGATTAGAATACTCATTTTCAACTTACTGTGGATTTTGCGAATCACAGGAGCCAGCCCTGCGATGGCACGGCACAATGGGACTGGAGCCGATCTTTTCGAGTTGCAAGAACTCCGTATGGGTGGTCGTTTTAGCAACGATTAAGCTCTGACTCATGTCAAACTCACGACTGAACTGTTCAAGATCACAGCTCCTCTGGCACGTCAAACTTCGCGTCATCAGATCCGACGAATATCCATTGGTTAGTAAGTTGTTACGATTCTCATCGTTACTGCCATCTAATTCTTGGGAAGCTACCCTCTGCTGTTGCTGCTGCTGGTAGGTACCGCGAGAACAAGTTTGATGCCGTTGTTGCTGTTGTTGTTGCTGATTATGGGAGGAGGGGTTGCGGTTGTTGTGAATGACGTTCTGATAAATGCTGTTTTGGTTCGGCGAGTACGTGCGGTTTATAGTGACCGGTAGGCTGCACTGAAATCCAGAGGCAAATAGGAGATTAGATTGTAGAATACAGAGCGATGGCTGTCAAAGTATGTTTTATCGGCGCGGCGCTTGGAAGATAACAATATCCGATCAATAGAAGCGACAGAAAAAGAGTTTATAAAATGAAAAGAGCATCAGAGCAAGTCTCTTACGAGCTACGAAACGCTTGAATGAATTACTACAGCGAGCTTATTCAGTTGAGCAAACAGTGCCGAGAGAGAGAGAGAGAGAGAGAGAGAGAGAGAGAGAGAGAGAGAGAGAGAGAGAGAGAGAGAGAGAGAGGGAGAGAGACGAGTGTTAATCAATGAATCAGAGGAAGAGAGGAGACTTGCTCACTCACCTGCTTGCGCTCGTCGTTGTTCTGGCACCTGTCCAAATTGGTGAGATTCTGAAAGGGACTGGAAGCACTGCTTCTGGTTAGCGAGGCGAGGCTCGACGACCTCGAATGTCCAAGTATTTGGTCGGCGGGCACGTTTGTGGTGAGAGCACCAGATGGAAAGACCTTTGGCGATACACAGTTGGCGCTGCGAGCTTGCCGTGACAACATCTCGAATTTGGTGAGCTTGCCCAGGAAATTGATTTCCTCGTCCGAGCAACCGGAATTACGTGCTGATACCTTGTTACTGCCGTCTTGCTGATGATGATGATGATGATGATGATGATGGCCGTTGGCAAAGGTCATCATTGGCGCCATGGAGATTCGTGAATTTGGCAGTACTGCTTTCAAATGCTTAGCTTCGGCTGGATGATTGAAACGTAGATAGTTCGAGCGACCTATCGTTAGCATGCAGCCTGCAAGAATAAATATATATGGTCGTTTGTACGGGCTAATCAATGATGAAATAAAAATCTCGTAGTTATCGGGAGTATTAAGAGCGTTGAATTCATTGATTCTCAAGCGAAGCGATGCGTATCGATACCGCGTGTCAACATCAACGAATTGATATCTAGTAAAATGCCTCCGGTAATACCGCGTGAAACGTCGATAGCACTCGAAGTAAACATCAAATTTGACATTCAGCCAAGTTTCTCTTCCCTCCTGATAAAGGTTCAACTCGTATTCTCGCGGCCCATCAAACCCTGCCAGTCAATTCGCACGAAAATTTAAGCACCCCTCGTAAATATGCTTATCTATCACTCGCGAAAAAGTCGTATCTAAAAAAGTGGAGTGGTGTGCCTTGAGGATCTCGTATATAGATACCTTGTGTGAGTCGCAGCGGGGCAGCGATCGGCAGTCCGTCGACGCACGTGTTTCCGCTGAGTGGATGAAGCGTGACCAAGCCTCCGGCATTCTCGATAATGCAGTGCACTAACTCCACTCCAGTGCCGCCAAGCTGAATGTCAGCCTCGCGACTCGAACCCAAGATTATGCGACCTGCAATATTCATAAGAGTTATTAAGGTTCGCTGTGTTCGATCATCGTGCTATACGTCAGCCGCTCGTGTGAAAGCCTCGTTTGATATTACTCTCTGATAATAGAAAAAAATGTTGTTGCCATATCGTGCAACGGAATATTAAGTGCCTCGGCTAAATTATCGTTGCTTTGACAAAGCTTTCTCCTGTCAAGTTGAAAGTTTATTGGAGGATGCTGGCTAGTTTATAATGATTAGGCTTGATACTTTTGCTACCTTCTAACTAATATTGGAACGTTGCTTCACGTTTTCACGTGTTGAGATACAAAGATCTATATTATAAAAACATTTTCAGTATGAACATGAAGATGTTTATTATTAAAGTCCGAGTAAGATGATTCACTGCTTATCTGCTCAATGAATATATTTTTATCGAGGAGACTGCTCCTTTTTATCTTATCAATTTTACTATTCGGTTTATGAAGACTGCAGTTTTCAATCGTCTTTACGTTTTCCAAGATCCATAACAGCAGTGACCATAGAAATGTATCGATATAGCTTTAAAACATACAATTATTTAGTTTTTAAATTTCAATTTGCGCAATTATTGTGTGCAATATTAAGCATGGCCGGATTTACGCTATAGTGCTACGCATCCCTGTACTACCAATGTAATGATGTTAAAAAACATTCCCCCTGTAATTAAAATGCGTTTGAGGTCGATGTCTTAGAACAAAAAATTTAGTTGCGTTAGTTTAAAAAGTAAAACGGTGATCATGTGTAATGTTGCAATGCCAATTACTTATTGTAGAAATATCTTTGTAAGAACAGCTTCAATTAAAACGTCCATTGTTTATTTAATAGATTTACACAATCGGTCACGTAACTACATTATGAAAATCATTAGAAAATCTAAAGTCTCAAACTTTTGCATAATTGAGAAAACAAAAGAACGAGACTTATATTTCGTAACATCAGTATATCTCACATCGTAAATTATCCCTAAGTGACTCCTTTATCAAGCAAACCGAAAATTATACAAACCTTTATTATATACCAACGCAGAAACTTCACTTAACTCAACTTTGAACAGACGCATTTAAGCTCTTTTCACTACTTATTAGCAAACTCGTGGAGTTTTACACGTTGAAAGCCCCATATGAATACGATTATATTAACCAATAACGATATTCTTGAGGCCATGAAACCGAGACTGTGAAGATAAAAAAGAGAGGGGAAGGCAGTGCCATTCCAGCGGCTCGTTTGCATTTCCTGTATGGTTATATTTGCGGCTCATTCGTTTGCGCTTTTGCGCTTTATCTCTGCGAGAGTGACGCTTCCTTTCTCTCTGATCTCTCTCTCTCTCTCTTTCTCTCTGCCAATCCTTTATTCTTTGCAGCTCCCTTTTTGCTATTTTAATTTTTCATGCTAATTTGCGAGTTGTTCGTCGCGTGACCGAGAGCTGAGGGTTTTTTTTCGCACTGCACTGTAGTGAAGTTAAATTTAATTAGGAATTTTGAAAAGATCGAGTCGACTGGCACCTAACATAATTTGGTAGGTTAATTAAAATTTAGCGCGTATTAAACAGCCGAGCGAGACTTGGCAGTCGAGGAATTCGATTTCCCATTCGAACAGCATGAAATTTCACTTTATTGCAAATTGTAAAGTGCAGTTGGCCAGGAGTAACGCAATATATAATATTAATTACAAGCAGTGCGATACAAATTTATTTATTTCGCTCAAAGAAGCCCGTTCATTTGGCAAGCTGTTCTAGCAACTGCGCACATAAAGAGAATTACAAACAGCGCGAAGCTCGCTGCCAAATTGGGAAAGTTTCAGCTAGTATAAAGGGATCCCCGCAAGTGAAACCTTGCGTCGCGAACAATTCAATAAAGCCCGAAACTGCTCCTTTTGGCAAATTAATCGAATCGATTTGTGTTATTATATGCCCGCTGGAAGGAAAAAAACCGCGAATCTCGTAACCTTGAAATGCAGCCGAGAGAAGATCGTCATCCGAAAAACAACCATTTATCAACGCGCAGCTCTGCCTGTCGAGAGCGAGCTTGGCTCGCAAGACTTTCACCTAAAAATTATACCCGAGCTCGACCTCCTTCTCTCTGTCTCTCGCGTGTGCGCGTGTATGCTGCACACGCTTTCCATCATCGACATCCTCTTCTGTCCCTTCTTGCCCTCTCTTCCTCTTTCTCTTTCTCTCTTTCCAGTCTGTTTAAATATAGTTTTTGGCGCTACTATTAACTAACTCCGCGAGACGCGTGCACAGGTTTTCCACGTTGTTCACGTTCGAAATTCGAGCGTCGTAAAAGCTTTGATGTTTCCAACGAAAAATGGCCTCAGTGTATACTCGGCAGCGCTTTCGCGATTTACGGTTTTGCTTTGACGACAACCCAGCTGCGAATATCAACGGGTCTACCGGTCTATGGCGAAGCTGACGTGTTGAATTTAAATTAGTCTATCGTCTTGAAACGTACCAATTCCAAAGTCCCATTGGATTATTAAACTAATAGTAGCTTTGCTCCCAGCTGCATATGCGTGTCAATTTTTGTTCTGTTTCAAATTCAACGCCAGATATTCTTCAGCTGTGACTTAAACATAATTATTCAATCGGGTTTTACAAGTTGTCGCGCGTGGCGTTTCGGTATTGATGAAGGTGTGTTTCCTTATGATTACCGGTCATTTCGAACGAGTTATTTAACGATTCGCTACAATATCTCTTGCAACTTTCATATCAACAAGTGTGTCCTGTTTTATAGACATCTAATAACGCGCAAATCATAACTGATTATTTCTTTAGCGCGGTGAAATGTGAAAATAATCTATACGAATTTAGATTTTCTGTGTTGGAAAAACATTGCTATCGATTTTAAGCTTTTGATCTTATCATCTCTGAAATAAATGTTCCTTCCTTATTTCAACAAAGAAATTAAATTGATTTATATACAATTCAATAGTGGAAGAAAAAAAAAGAACCACTATTACGTTTTACTTAAAACAAATGTATACTACATATATATTTGCGGGTAGATATTAGTTTACTATAATTTTTTTTGCTCGATTTTAAAAAAACAAAAACATAACTTTTGAAACATTTTAGTGTCTCAGTAAAGTTCTTCCATAATATAACTATTTTTTTTTTTTTTCGTTATATATTTAATGTAATATTAAAGTTCAATATTGAAGGTGCATTTCGTGGAATTTTACAACTAACCGAAACTCGATTTGAAAAAATTATAATTTCAAGGATTGTGTAAATTGTCGAGAGGCATTGACACATGTTATGTGGGCAATAGATATGATTTCTATTTTTTAATATCAAAATTATGATACTGAGTTCGAAGTGTCTTGGGTATTTAATGAAAATCGTAATAAATTACTGAATCTTAATTTTAAGAAAATACTAAAGATTATTTATCGATTTTAAATTACTTTATTTCAGTCATCTCACTTTTAAATCCAATTCAGAATATTTCGAAAGATTTTACTTCTTTGGCTCTAAACTATCATTCACTGTTCTATAAAAGAAAAGAGTAAAAAATTTTTTACTTGGAAGGGATACAAAAAAACTCCATTACTATATCATTTCCATCCGATAACACAATTCTTTCAACGCATGGACAGAAAAAAGTCACGGGAATGAAAAGAAGTCATCAAAAGCGAACGGGAAAGCGAAGGCGTGTTAGGGTGGAAACTCGCGTCGACGGATTGGTTTCGTTCCACAACTACGTTAGCGCGTTAAAACCGAGCAGCCGTGACGAGAGAGAGAGAACTTCCGTCTACCACGAAAATTACTCGATTGTCTTCATAGACAGAATTAACTGATTAAGCGCACGTATGATTTTAGTCTTGAACATGCGATTAACGCATCTAACGTGCTCAGATTCTTTTGCTCGCAGCGTCATGATAAATGTTCGATTAATTCTTACGTTGTAACATCTCGCGTCGCATCAGTCATGCACACATCGGCAATAAGACGCTTGACGGGTGATTAGCGTTGCGGGACCTGACCTACATTAGCTACAGATTGCACCCCCCCCCCCCCCCCCGCGAGACTACGTTGCGTGTATTGTTTACACGCCTGAACGAATATATATGCCTGAGTTATCAATTCACTTTTATGCGTGTGTCTCGTGTCACTAGACGTAATCTCTAGTCCCACATCAAACTTTCATTAATATTACTCACTTTTATTTTGCCTTTTCAAAGTCTTATACGAGTTGAATTTACCGTCGCGAATGGGGTGGTTTTTACCAGTGCATTTGTCATTTATTATGACCATTGAGTAATGCAAGTCTGTGCATCTGAATTTAAACGAGCTAACGCAGAAACTTTGAAACCGGGATTTCCGAAGAAATTTTTCTATTGATAATGGTTAGTCGTTAGTTACAAATTCAAAGAAACTAAATCACGCGACACTTCAATTGTTCATTCAAATTGAAGATCCAGTTTGAAAACTATCGAACTATTAAATTTGAGAAAAATATTACCTTGGAAGCAGTGCTGTTTTATCAGAGTGTTTAATTCAATTTACTACAATGTAATATCATTTCCAAGGCCACGAATGACAGTAAAATATTGAAGCTCAGCAGTAAAACGACATATTTCTTTTTTTTTTCCTTTCACGAGTGCCATTATGGATTTTATGCTCGCAAAGGAAAACCCATATTTTTTTTATTGCAATCTCGACTCGAGAATTCTTAAGATTTTTCTTCGGCATTGCCAAAAATAAAACTAAAGGCGTCCACGACATAAACCAAGTAAAAATACAGTCGTGGATACTTTCTTCGCCATTGGTGTTTAACGTCATAGCTTTACGACCATCTCTCGACCAATTAAATTCTCGTCAATCAATAATATTTTCTGACGAAGAAAGAGCAGGTTACCTTCGGGTAGCGGATGAAGCGTGACGGTGGTCGAGAGTCTTCCGCTGCCGGTAGATACAAGATGAGGCGAGTCCGTGTGAAAGCTCAAAGCTCGGCCGGATTCTCGTACTTCCAGGCCGGCAGCGTTCGCCATTCCTGCAATGACAACCACAGCAGCACCGATTGATTTCAACTTATTTACTTTTGCCCATTGCTTATGGCGAGTAGGCGCCAATTAGAGAGTTAATTGTTTGACTTCGCGCTTGCGCCCGCGCCCAGAAAAACAGGACACTACAAGGCCTCGAAAAGAACAAAAGCTCGTTTGTGCGCGCGCCCGCATATCGCCGCAAGGGCACGCGCGTCGCTACGTGGGAGGGAACACGTCGATGATCGCGACGACGATGATGATGCCCCCGAAACCGGTATATCTCGAATGATTTTTCTTTTTTCTTTTTCCCCATTTGCGAGAGGCTTTGTATTTTCTCTCTGACGCTTCGAGGAGAATACTTTCTGCTCGCGTCTTGTGACTCTTTGCACAATGGGGAAGGCGCTTTGAGCTCGGACACTTTTTTGATGAGGCTCGCAACTTTTCTCTTTGGCGAAGCTTAGCTTGTCAATGACACGTTGTCACGCGGTCGGCTGAAGGTGTTCTTTGAGAATTCAGAAAATCCCGGATACATGCGTAACGCAGTTTTTTACTTTTTGGCCTTGTGATTTTTGCTTTGCGAACTGACACTCTCGAGCCCGATTAAAAAAGTGCGCAATCACGGCTTTTTTTCTTTCTTTTGTTCTTTTTGAGCGACGTGATTTTAAAAACCGGATCGATTTCAGCATAGACGCGCGCGCGCGTACGTGATTGTTTATCAAACAAACGGCAATCAAAATTCGCGCAATCATACGTATACGATTTCAACGTAAAGATTACGCAAAAAACGATTGTTTATCATTTCAGCAGTAACGACTCGGAAGTCGCGCGTGTAATCGAATCGGGCGCGTACGCACGCAGAGATATATTATAGCACGCGATATCCGCAAGCACCGAAATAAGAATTCACTATTCTGTAAATATACGACTCGATTCGCTTGGTTCGCGAAGTCGTCGCATAATTCCGGGAATGTGAGTTTCAATGCCTGTAAATCCGTTAACCGATTCATAAATGCAATTTGCTTGTTACAATTAACTCGGTGCCTGATATACCACTATAATAGCAGAACTTTACAAAGGACTGGCAAGAGCATTATACTAAACGCGAACTTGACTGAAATATAACCCAAGCTTCGTGCGTATTGAGCAATTAGTACCCCGGCATACAAATCGCGCCCGTGCACATACAAGTAGGCTTTGATCATAAAATCACGTTTCTTTTTTTTCCGTCATCGCTCTTGATCAAAAATCAAAAATCAGTAAATGTTTTTTGCAGAATCGCAATTAAAAGTTGTCGGGTTCTCAACATATAAAGAAAAAAAAGTGATTTTCACAACCGTCGTGAAAGAAATTATCGTTTCTGAAAATCTCGCTTATTTTCCTAAATCGAGTCCGAAACCTCCTTCCGAAAACGGCCATTCGAAAGGCAACTCTTCAAGTAGTCGTAAAACTCTCGGTGAAAAGTACAAACGAGCAATAATTAGCCCGGGGTTTGATACGTTATATGTACCACGTGCGCCGAGTAACTCAACCTTCGGTTGGTCCGTAAACAGACTTGCAAGAACGTCCGTCGCATGCAGAAAAAAAGGCGTTATAAGGACGAGCGCTTTCTTCGACTGATTAAATTCCGACGCTAACGATCGACTTCGATCAATTCCTCTCACTGTCATCTCGGCTGGACAGCAGTCGAACGAGCTATGATTCATCGAATGCGCGCATACGTCTATCTATTGAATATTAATTCGCATAGCTCGAGTGCAAGCTCCGTAACAATTACTCGAGTTCAGTAACAGTCGGTTACGTTCGGACATTTCGTTGCTCTCAGTGCAGGAGAGACTAAATAAAGTTGAATGTATTGTGGAATTTCTTTGGAGTCACACCGAGTTTGGGTCGTGGGATAAGCCAAGGGGATATAATACGCTTAATTGAAGTTGTTTCAACTCGTTAAAGGCCACATGAGCGCGAGACAGAAGTACAGCAGGCAGCTTCTGCTGCGTCTCCGACGATGCTGCGACAAAAATGAAGTTTTTTTTTTATCTTGAGGCGTATATGTCGAAAGTTTTATTGCTTCTTAAATGTATCTTAGCTTAGCTACACGCGTACGATGCATCCAAATGAGTTTCTACAGTAGTTTTCTCGAGAGTGCGAGATTAGATTTTTTCCGTTAGAGGTCTTGGGGTTTGGTCTTGGACACATTGAATATTATTTTGTAATTTGTTAGAAATGTGCAAAAGAAAAATGTAATGGAATGCTGTATAGATTTTTTATGTTTGCAGACAATGTTTTGGTGACTATCGAACGAGTAATTGACTTTGATACTTAGATTTCCTCCGAACTTGGAACTTTTGAAGTCTTCGAGAAATTCATCACATTCATTAAAAAAGGTAGTTACGAAAGTAGCATAGCCAAACAACAATTTTTACACTGCTCGAAACGTAGTGGAATGAACTTTGACGAGCAAACTGAAAATAACTTTTCTCCTCATTGCTGGCGCGTGTGGCAGTAGCTCAATTAAAGCGCGACTATTTGAAAATTTATCAAACGGTCTGAGAACCGAGCTACGTAAAAAACAGCAGCAAGTAGCCGCAGCAGCAACCATGGCCATTAATTTTTTGGATGTGTCCAGTGGTCGTCAGAAGTTCACCGCGACGCGCAACTCCAATTTTCTCCTCCCCCCTTCCCTCCCGCCGTTTCCACGCGGTGACCCAGATGCGTTGACGCGAAGCTTTAAGCTTTCAACTGAATTCCCGAAAACGCGAATCCCCGAAGAGGAAACTCGCTCATACGTAGCTGAATTGAAAACAACATAGCGCCGCAACAGCAGCAGGCCACGTGTGAAGTTTCGAGGGAACTTCCGGCTTCGAGTCTTTGTATGATCCATTTATTAACTCTTTGCACGCACGAGTGCGTGTTCGACCTTCCTTATATTCGAATTGAATGCCATGCAGACTTCTATATTTTTGCTTTCTTCGATTTTCACATATCTACGAAACTTTGATGCGGTGCCAAAAAGTTAAAGTTTTTATTGAAATCCCAACATATGTACACAGTGCTCGCGCGGTGTTTGAGTTTTGGCGTTAAACTTCTCTCACTCTCTCAATTTAAACATTGTAAGTTTCATGCTGACTGCGTGTTGACTCAACTCGGGAATCAGCAGCGAAATTGCGCTATAATTCATTAGCTAGCTAATATTTACAATGTTGCATGTTATCATTTCGTTCACAGCTATTCTTAACTTTTATTACATCTTCATTCCGGTGACCTAAATATTTATACATGTATATATTTTTTTTTGCGCCACGAGATATTCGGAAGAAAGCGTTTCTCCGCTTGTCGCAAAAAATAATCGAAAATGAGAAAAAGCATCGTACGATAAAAGAGTGCCCACGAAACTGAAATAACCTTTCAAAGTCCATTCCATTATGTTTTTTAGTTTAGAAAAGCTACACACAAAAACCAACTGCAATCGTTTAACAAAATGTCATTGAGTCCGTTGCGAATGAAGCGCCCCTGAAATATGAAAGGGAGAGACAGGGAGGACGTTGATCGAAACAAATTTGCGGAAAACGCGTACGTCGATTTATTTTCGGTCGCGAGCTGCTCGCGAGAGAGGAAAAAGCTCTTTTACATGGCTCATTGCGAGTTGTCCCTCGCGGCGGCAAACAAAGCTTGTAGCATCTGCAAAACGATGCGTGTCGATCAATTTTCCGTTTCATATCGGTTCGCTTGCGAAGTCGTTTAGGCATGCTCGGCACGAAAAATGCAAAAGATTTGATCTACGACTGGCCGGCCGGCCCTGCGTCAATCAACGAGCTCCTCATCATTTTGCAATTCAGCATCCGGAGCTTCGTTTCGCGTTTAGCGTCCACCCGGGACACTGCGGATCTCGCGACATTTAATTTTTGATGTCGCTCTCCGAAATAAAGCACCCCAGCATTAATGGACACAAGCTTGCGGGGAAAAAGGTAACCTAAACTTTCATTTGGCGCGCCAATTGGGATTCCCGCGGCGTGGCATCGCTCTTCCTTGCCGTGGAGTTTGTTGTTTTATATTTTTTCCCCCTTATCTCTGCGCCAAGCCCGAGAGATGCATTGTAAATTACGCGCGCGTATACGCCTCGCTTCTCTCTCTTTCTCTCTGCCTAGCGCAAATATTTGTCGCGCGCCGCGAGGCACGTTAATTGTGCGTACGCGGGGCACGTCCTTCCCTTATCTCTTGCTCTCTTCTTTGCCTCGCTTGCTGCTTATGCATGGGAGCTTGTCGCGCTTGTAAAAAGAACACGTAATATTCGAACGATGACGCCCGCAGAAAGTTTCATTGGTCAATGAGTTTGTTTGAATAGAATAGTCGCCTATGACGCAAAGCTTGAAACGTTTCTCGCCTATGCATTCACGTCTGGGTGTGTATGTGTATTTACGCGTTGCGCATTCTTTCTTAGGATTTCCGCTTGAAATTACCGAAGCAGCCCCCGCGCATCGTCTACACCAATGCGAGATTACGGCTGTGCGTTAGAGATACGTGGCCTGACTAGAATTAATGGCGCTTGTTCGCTTGAAAGAGTTGGATGAACTTTCAAACTCTCGGTTTTCGTATATACGCGATTGTTCAGCAGTAATTTTACAAACGTCAATACCAATCGCTCTTATCTTTTATTCGTCAATGGGGAAGAAGAGAAAAGAAAGCCTTTATTTCACGCGATGGATCGAGACAGTGTAATTGACATGCTACATGGCGATTAATTAATTGATAAAGAAAACACTCAAAGATAGATGGCAAGAGTAAAGTCTTAATGCAAATCAAATTGACGATAGGTACGAGCCAATGTCAAATGACAGTGACGAAGTTACGAAGAAGCGGAAAGAAAAGAAGAGGGGGAGGACACATTGCGGACGTATATATTCACTCGAGGAGAGATGCGGTGTTTTATAAAAGCAGGATGTGGTGCGGTATACGCGTAAAACGTGCAAACGGACGAAGGGGAGGAAGACAGAAGAAATTGCACTCTCGCGTT